TTATTATTATTATTATCATTATTATTATTACTATTATTATTATTATTATCATTATTATTATCATTATTATTATTATTATCATTATTATTATTATTATTATATGCAATTATTTGAATATATTTGTGTATTTATCCCCAGCCAGTGCACATTTTGAATGTGTTGATACAATGTTAGCCAAGACTGACTACTATCAAGAATTCGAAATGGTACAGAGGATGATTACGTCATGCCCCACATATTTTGACAGTGATGACGACACCAAAGGGAAGTGTGAAAACGTCGATAATCTTAGAGACGACATTTTGTCTAACGGGACGACTTTCCAGAACATGACGGACAACTGGCCCGTTGCTTCGACGACATCTTCATTTTTCTACAAAAATCGAGCTTGCGCTAAATGCCACGGCGAAGTTGTGGACGATTTCAATCTCGTTGCCTGGAAAATACGAATGTCTTGCAAGGACATGAATCTAGCCACATCAGATCTGTCACCGAAGGAAATGCTCGACATTGTCATAGGAAAAGAGACATGCACTGTATTTCTCGCTGTCCCTGGCGGTTTTGAATCCAAGAAATGCAAACTTGAAACCCAGGAGTCGACAATCTACACGAAATGTAACGCCACGGGAAAGCGCACAATGCTCGATCCCGTTCTATGGCGGGCGTGTGATTCTCATTTCAACTCGTACCGTAATATCTTCTGCGACCTGTGTCAGATGGACGATCTGCGGGCGCCAGAGAGTACTTGTGGAAAGGAGGCGGGCTTTTCCTTGCCATTTTTCGTCCTCTTTGACCCGGAAGCCTTACAGCAAGTGAAGGACACACAAAAGGGTCGCTGTGGATGCGTGGTGGACCGGTATTTTCACGATACCCACAAGGTAATTTATTTGGTCGATTTTAAGCACAAGGGGGCTATCCCGAAAAATGCTGTTTTGAGAAAAGCGAAGGTAAAGTTTTTGGATGCTTGTTCAGTTTCTTTAAAATACAAGGAGAGTTTTCTCTATAACCAAACAAACATACACACCAATGAAACCAAACTTCAACTATAGATATAGCAATGTCCACTTTTGGTGTAGGTCAAGATTTCTGGAAACCCTTGCTTGTCCTTAAAAGCAGCCATTTATTAGTATCTCTGTTCTTGCAGGATTATGCTCACAGACAGGTTGTAATAAGTAACTAATTTCTATTCGATCAGTAGAAAAAATACCACCCCCTTATTCAAAAAGACAGTAGTAAATCGGTGTGTTTTGGAACTTAATTTACTTTTGGGATATTTAAGTTATGAATTGTAAACTGTAATTTTTTTTTCATCTTTTTGTCATTGTTGAGAATTTAGTCTTTCACTTACCGTCAACTCATTTTCAATATACAGACCCAGTTTGTATTGGTGGCCCTCAGGAAGTTAACTCCTATTAGAGACAAGTATTCCGTGTAGCATCGCGGTAAAATCAGATGCTCGTCAAGAAATTGAAAATGTAAAAAACGACTTTTTCCATTTGAAAATTTGTATCTTTGTATGTTTGGCTCAATACCTTTTATGTCCATGTAAAAACATTTTATTTCTTTGCAGATTTTACTGAAAAATGATTAAAGGCATAAAAATGTAACTTTGCAGTTTCCGAAAACACTCTACCTTATAAAGTCATCATAACATGGCGACCATTTTCTTACTCACAATGAAACCCAACACACCCAGGACAAGTGCCGAAAGCTGTCTTGTGAGCACGGGAAAAGGCTGATCGACGGTCGGTGTAAGTCAGATGTCAAGGCAGCCCAGGGTCTGGCTTATGAAACCAGCCTCACCTTGTCAGGAGCTGTCAGTTCGGAGCAGAGGAAGAGGATGGGAGACGTCGTTCCGGCGTGTGGTAGCTTTCGTGACCTGTATGAGGTGATTATAAGTACACAGTAGTCTTCTCTTACTTCAGTTTGAGTCGTACCATATGACTGTCTTTGTATTGGTTGGGTTAAGATAAGACAAGATAAGGTAAGATAAGACAAAATAAGATAAGATAGGATAGGATAAGATAGATAAGATGAGATAAGAGCATCTTTATTATCCAGAACCTTGCACATTGATTTGGTATTTTACCACG